GGGGGGGGGGGGGGGGGGGGGGGGGGGGGGGGGGGAAGGGAGGTTAAATCCCTTTTCCCAGCCCAGGTTTTGCCTAACAGCCTTTTTCCAGCCTATTTTTTGAACAAAGTCCCATACTCGTTTGTTTGTGATTCTCAGTCCCATCGACCTAGATCCAATTGACCTTGATCCCATTTACCCAGTGAAAAAATTGAACCAATCCCTGATCCCCATTTGCGTCCCTCATATCCCTCACGAGTGGCAGCGATCATTGACATGCTGTCATGATCTCACAGTGATATCTGATTGAATCAACTGCATCTTTTGTGATTATGTGACAATTAAAACTGTTTGCATCCAAACCATAACTTCTTTAATGAGCTCTTGTCATTTCATAATTATGTTTTGCGACTTAACCAACTTCCAACGTTTTCCAAAGTAGAACGAGGAAACGTTATCTTTTTTAAACAGGCTTTAAATACTTCCTTTTTTTAATTTGGATCGAAGTCAATTAAATGTCATGTTTTGAAAAAGCCAAGAGAGTAACCCCAAGCTGATCTGTTCCTTTACAAACAATTGTTAACTTAACAATTGTATTTAACACAGTTGTCATTCAATGATTGCAAATTACTATGCACACATAAAATTCTGGACATAACAAGTCACGCCTGAATGAAACTCGATGGTTTATCAGTTTATTAAGCGCCAAAACGTCAAGCTATTAACTAGTGTCATTGCGGCGTCTTTAAATTGTGCTGACAGCCATACCATTGTGATACAAATCAAAATGACCGAGCACGAAGCCGATCAGGCGCTATCACCTGGAACGGAGGACGAAGGACAGCGAGATTTCGCTGCAAAGACAAGCAAAAAGCGATTCAGGGCTAACAGGAAGGTCGTCCTCGCCGTGGCTGGAGTTTTAGCAGGCGTAGGGCTTATTCTTTTCATTGTAGGGCTTGTGTTGATAGTGAAGAGCAAAAATGAGGGACGGCAGCATTCAGTCAGCAGTGAACAGGACAATGACAAGGATAAGCTGGTGGATAAGTGTTCATTCTCGCCTGAGGCAAAGCGTGCAGGTCAGTGTTTCATAGTTTGTCGCGTGTATAAAATCGACAAGTTCATACTTGTGTGGCTCAACTTTGTTTACAATAAAAGAGGAATTTTATGAGACTAATGCTAGAGCTGAAAATGCGCAAAGGGACTTTGAATTGATCTGGGATGTCAAAATAGTCCTATAGCTAATAATGCAGTTATGTACATCGAAGAAACAAATAAAATGCAGAACAGACGCACTTTCTAAGGGGGAGAGGGAGGGTCAAGCTTTGTCCATTTTCTGTTTCGGACGACAGATAGATTGATGAAACTACGCCACGATCTACTCGCCAGGTTACATGCCACGTACAAAAACTACCACTGAATGAAAGTAAACCTAAAAATAATTTTTCATGATGATTAAGGTTGAAAAATCACAAAGGTACTAAGTTAAGTTACCGTTTATAGACGAGGAGGTAGAGTATGTCTTTTACTACTTCGGCTACCTCCCGTCCCGGGGGGTGTACTCCCTTGTATGGGCTATATAGGTATGTACGGTGTTTTCAAATTCCTCCGGTTTTGAAGACCGTTTTCGAAAAGCTCCGTTTTCGTGACGGATTACTCTGGACCGTAGGCCTAACCGTAGAAATAAAGACCCACATATACCTACACAGCCTACATCTCATTAATCCCCTACATATACCTACACAGCCTACATCTCATTATTCCCCCAACATATACCTACACCGCCTACATCTTATTAATCCCCTACATATACCTACACAGCCTACAGCTCATTAATCCCCCACATATACCTACACAGCCTACAGCTCATTAATCCCCTACATATACCTACACAGCCTACATCTCATTAATCCCCTACATATACCTACACAGCCTACATTTCATCAATCCCCCACATATACCTACACAGCCTACAGCTCATTAATCCCTTACATATACTTACACAGCCTACAGCTCATTAATCCCCTATATATATCTACACAGCCTACATTTCATTAATCCCCCACATATACCTACACAGCCTACAGCTCATTAATCCTCTACAAATACCTACGCAGCCTACATCTCATTATAATTAATCTCCTACACATACCTACACAGCCTACATCTCATTAATCACCTACATATACCTGCACAGCCAACATCTCATTAATTCCCCAGATATACCTGCACAGCCTACATCTTATTTATCCCCCTACATATACCTACACAACCTACATCTCATTAATCCCCCTAATATACCTACACAGCCTACATCTCATTAATCCCCCACATATACCTACAGAGCCCACATCTCATTATTTCATTAAATCGTTTCTAGAGTCATTACTCATTATATTCAGTGGTTATCAACTAATGTAGAACCAAGTGGTCTTAAGATATCTTGGAACAAGTAAATTGATCATCGTTATTCAAATTATCCGTT